CGAAGTAGCAAAAAGTGTAAACTTTTTCTTTTGCCTAGATAAAACCATCATATGTGTTTTCACACAGTTCCTTAAGTCCATCAGGAGAATAGAAGCAGATGTGTTGACATTAAAGGTACTTTGGTGATCCCATTCAAAGGAGGACGGAGGGTGTATAGGTTGGGTTGCAGTGGCGTATTTTTGGCATCCCAAGTTAATTGTTCTAGCAATTTCATTTTTCAAGCAGCGTTCAGGGTCACGGGTGCCTTTGCGTCTCCCCAGGGCCTGTCATCGGGAATTTCACTGCACCTATTGGAAGGAAGGCCACTCATGACCTGGGAAGACAACAGGAAGATGAAAATAGAAAAGACAAGACAAACTTACAGATTTTCCCTTCGGTCCTCTTGGCCCCCGTAACCCTTTGACTTGGAGAAAAATTGCCGCTTGACATTTCGAGACGTAACGATGGGGGCAGGTTTTTAAAGATGTGCGATTCCCGTGTGGTATCAGGTCCAGCGTGACTCTTCCCAGGGGGTGAAGTCTAAGAGGGAGGAGATGCTGATCGCAATCAGCCCAAATCCTTGAAGGATCTCCCTAATCATTTCCATTCTATGGACGGCTTGGAACATGTCAGTTAAACTAATGACGATACTGACACATGGTCTTACCTATTCATCAGTATTAATCCAATAAGGTAGCAATGATTTAAAAAATGTTCCGTATTCTTTGTGTGCAAGGGTGTCAAATAGTACTTCTGTTTTCCTATTATGCTTTATGTTTTAATCCAGTTTAATACTGAATTAATGAAGAAGAAACATCTTTAAAAAGTTCTTTTGACATGACCCGGAAAATTTGCAATGGACTTACACAAATTTAAGCATATTTTTTTTGCACTGAATAATTCATACTGTCTGCATAAAAACACCACTCTTTGACTAATTGTAAATGGTCTTATTTCTCTCAGATAAAACCTGAAGGTAAAAAGAACATCATAACTTAGGTGTATATTTCTTGCAGAGAAAACAACATGAATGCAATGTTAAGTAATAGCAAAATGAAAATGATTCTTGACAAGAAAATTTCATGAAGCTCTTTTCCTTGACAGAAAAAAAACATTGAGTGTTTTCTTCAAGACAGGTGTAGAGCATCCAGATGCTCATTTACTCCTTGTGCTTAAAGAAAAACAGCAGAGATAACAGGAGAAAAACAGAATGGTTTGAAAGGTGTGACTCTTGGTCATCCGTGGCTTATTACTGGTGCGAGCCTAACCCTTGCAACCTAACATATGCCTTCTCCTATCCGCTCCCATTACGGAGACCTTATTTTTGGGTAGGAGATGGGCAGGGGGAATATAGCACAGCAAACTCAATTTCACAGATTTTAATTTTCCCCACACCAATTAATCTCTAGATAAATGTTACAAAAAACAAAACAAAAAAAAACAGCTGTCTGGGTTCTATTTGGTTTTCTGTAGCACAATCCTTATGGGAAACTCCAGCAATAGGCAATTTAGCAGCGCTGCCTAGGTCCTGGCAGCCAGAATCCACCCAGTGCACACCTCCCGCTAATAGACATGTTTGTTTTACTCGCTGAGCCCTCATCATAGAAACCATCTTTTTTGCTCTTAATGAGGAGCAGGCTTGACGCTGTCTTGCTATATCAGGAGCACTTTTTTTCTTTTCTTTTTTGTCTGATCCTATTTTGTTGCACGTTTGGTCCTTAATTCGTGTTACGGTACGACGGGGTCTGATATATTTAAAAAAGAGAAAATTCAAGACTAAACTGTTCATTGAACATCAGTCAAAGACTACTGTTGTGGGTAGGATGTCTGATCGGATTGTTTTAGCTCGAGATCGCCAACATTTTGGTTCAGCATTTGATTCCATCTGAATTGTTGCTAACTGACAACCCAGAGTATGGAACTCCATTGAATTACGATACACTTTAGTAGTGTAAAAAAACAACGACACTATGTTAAACTGAAAATTAAAAGAAAATACATCATTTTTTTGTAATTAATGGTACAAATTGCTTGTTGATCCCTATCAAAGATAAATCAGTTAATTTAACATCTGGCCCAGTTTTCCCATAGGGATTTCCGATACATACAGTAATTTAAAGTGGTACTACAAGCGGATGTGTATATTATGCAATTGCTGGGTCACTTCACTGTTATCGACTAGCTCTTAGCAAAGAGCTACAGATACATCTGTGATCGCCTCATTCTTTAATGATTCAATATCAAATGCACTGTCTGTTTGATAGCTTGCAGCCACTGGTTTGGATAAAAGCAAAAGTGAATGAATGAATGTATGATGTAATTGTGCAGGTCGTAATATGAACGTACAGTGGCACAGCGGTTCACTGGATGCTACTGTACTGTACTCCTGTAACAGTTACAGGGCTACACACCCCCCACTGCTGATTCTCTGTGTGTGTCTGGAATTTGCATGTCCTTCCAATGTTTGCATGGATTTCATCACACAGTCCATAAACATGCACTAAGTTGAATTGGTGTCTTTAAATTGGCCAGTGCGTGCCCTGCGATAGCCTACCAGTGCATGCCCTGCGATAGCCTGCCAGTGCGTGCCCGGCGATAGCCTGCCAGTGTGACCAGGATGTCCTGTGCCATGTGCTTCCTGGGACGGGATCCAGGTCCGCAGCAAGTGTACTGGCTAAACACTTATGTATGGATAATGTATATTTACTCTTAGCTTTTAGTTTTATGTGTTTACAGTATAAGTCTTTTACACCAAGTCATATTTATTGCAGTGCTCACAGTAAGTTTTTGGACACTTGCTTAACAATTATGACATTTAGAACATTACCTTTTTCATTTGGTTACAAAAATATATACATCTTATGAATAGAAACTGTAGTTTTACATGAAACATTAATTTCAAGTCATATTAATTTGAAACCCAAATTACAGTTTTAAAAGAGCTGTTACAAAGTTCATTGACAAGCAATCTGATTGGGCTTTTTAATTAGTAACATCTTTGCAATAACACAAATACCAAACATCTGAGTTCAGTTTCCCTTTGGAAGCCAATGACTACAAGTACAATTAATAGCAATAATGGAAAGAAGGGAACAGAATGAGTCGGTGAAAAAAAAATGACGCTTCATAAATAGAAATGTCTGTGCGGGAGATATGTGCGGATATGTTACACGTTGCTTGTCAATTGAGTTTTGTCATGAAACCAATAAATTTGCAACATTTTTACAAAATTAAGCAAGCATCCCAAGACTTTCTATGAGTTCTGTATATGCATTTCCCCAGACTGATTTTCTGTTTTAGAAAGCTTAACGTCTGCCAAAATGTATGCTGTGATTTTGAGTTACAGTCTGTAGAGGATTGAAGTGGTTGGGGGGGGTGGTTTACTTCCGCTTGTACAATACAGTAATTCAAAGGGGTTGGATCAAAAAATTTGTCAGTAGCTGGGTTGATCCAAAACAAGCAGATGAGCAATACTGCAAGTTCTGGTACTGTCACATTTTCGCCCCCTGTATTATTGCTGTTTTCTCTCGGGGGTGCCTTTGGTATTTTTAGCATTTCTTTGTAATTGCTTGACCTATGCTGCGCACAGGAATTAATGCAGCCTTGTCACTAATAGGATTCATACACGGGTCCTTGTCAGCTGACACCCTTTACGCATAATGAAGTGGATTTTTTTGTGTGTGTGTTTTGGAATTACAACAGATTCAAGAAATAATACTGAAAAAATTTAACTGGTATAGGAGTCATATGCATAGATGGAAAATCTAGGTATTTATGGAAACAAACTAATAAATACATAAATAAGATTGTGGTAAATTAAACCAAACACTGAACTGGAATTCGTAAATATTCCTGAGGTCTTGTTGCTGCCCCCTACAGTCCAGGGCCCAGGGAACCATAATGGTTTGTCTACCTTTTCTGTTGTCATCTGACTTTGTGGTTACCTCGTGCAGCTCATTACCAGCTCAATAGGACTCTCAGTTGTCATAATAAGACTTATTGTATTATTATTCCTAAACCATGTCTTTCACACAACAGGACTTAAGTGGGCGGAACACCGTGTGGTGATTAAGTAGATATCATTGCATTCCAAAGGAGTCCAGCTAAAATCCCAGGAGGGGATCTGCTGTAATACTCTTAAGTAATGTACTTGACCTGAATCGCTGCAGGAAAAGTAACTAGCCATGTAAAACGGGCAAATTATATATGTTGGATAGAAACTAGCCGGATATATTACTGGGTTAAGCTAAGCACTTTAATCCAAATCTTCAAATTAAGCACCATGTTGCAGTGTACCACAAAAAAATCAGTATTACCCTGTTTAATTAATTCTGAATATATTATTATATAATATATAATGAGACTCTAAATATATTATTGCATGTATAATCACCTACTTGGATCATATTATCATGGTTTTCCCAAAGTGTGGAGCCCTGTGGAAGCTTGCTGAGCAGGTCACATCAGCATGTCTTCGCATTGGCACAGACTCTAGCTCATTCTGGTGGATCCCCAGATGTTCCCAAGCCAGCTAGGAGATATAATTCCTCCATGATTTCCTGGGTCTTCCCTGGCGCCTCCTTCCCAGTGGGACATGCTTGGAGGAGTTTCTGTAGGAACTGGCATCGTTATATGATGTGCAGACCACCTCTGGCTCTACTTTGTGGTCAGTCTGGATCTCGAACCTCCTCACCCCATCGCAGAGTCCAGCAAACTTGATTTCTTGTGGTGTTTTTTTGATCATTACCTACCGTTCATGCAACAAACGGGATACAGGTTACCCTGTAAACTGTGGATTCTCGTCTCATGATTTAATGTCTACTTTACTAGTATAGACCTTCTCAATACCTACTAGACACTTACCAGCAGATGCTCCCCACCAGGCCAGGCTCTAGGGATATCTTCCTGTAACCCTCTCCTTGGTAGGGTACACTTCTTCTTCTTCATCTTCTACTTCTTCTTTTTCTTCTTCACTGGGAGCCTTTTAGTACATCTTACTTTGTTTGATCTCTCCCCGCAGACATGTTCACCAAAGCAGACAATCAGGACCTCAAGCCCCAGATAATGTAGCCCCATGGATTGCTAAGGTACGCAACCCCCTCCACCACACTAAAGACACGACCTTTCTAGTGCCCTATTATAACAACCTCAATTATTATTATTTCTGTTCAATTTATTTGTTAATTATAGTGATCCCCCGCTATATCGCGGTCCAGATATCACGCCCCTGCTATATCGCGGATTTTCCACCGACACATCACAGTTCTCTGCGATGTGTATATATATGCATATACATTACATATTATTATTATTATTATTATTTATTATGTTACTCATATCCTTAGCCCGACATCCAGATATGTGTTTACAAAGTGTGTTTTAATAAGTTTACATGTGTTTAAGGCGTGTGGGAGGGGTATTTTAAGGCTTAAACTATTAAAAAAATGTTTATTTAAATGGTCTTTCTATATCGCAGATTTTCACTGATTTCACTGATTTCGCTGATGGGTCTAGAACGTAACTTCATAAATACACAGTACTGTGCAAAAATCATAGGCTGCCATGGAAAATGAGGTCTAAATTATGTTTCTGTCTGTGTAAACCATCATTTTATATCTATCAAAGTGTGTTACCTTAGACATTTCTAAACCTCTACTAAATCACCACAGTATTTGCAGTTACTATTCAATATACCCAGATATTTGTTGAAGTGGACCACTAGCACATCTTATTTCAATACCTTGTTGAGTTTATTAAATGAATTAGTTAGTTACTTAAATGCACTAGTGGTGAAATATAACAAATTTCACATGAATTGGCTGCGGTGCCGCTGAGGATAAATTTGGGAACCAAAGCTGTGTTTTTCTAGCCATCCAAGGTATCAGAAATTATGTTAGTATTATTAGTATATAATTTAATATGTAATTAGTATTATTAGTATATAATTTAATGTGTAATTATATTATCAGTATATCATGTAATATATAATTAATATTATTAGTATATCATTTAATGCTAAATAACCTTTCTGAGCAAAAATACACTTACTGCCCTGATAATACAATAAATACAGCTTTAAAGTTTCAAACATTTTTTTTTTTGGTTGTCTTAGACTTTTGCACAGTACTGTTAATGTATGCCATTAAATATGAACCAAATTAATAATAGTATTAGTAATATTCCTGCATAATAATCCTTGTTATTTTATAATGCAGTGTAGCAGAGATGTGAAATATTTAGTTAATTCAATTATTCAGTCTCACTGGGGGAGGGGATATATTGGAAAATACAGAATCTTCCTTCTAGCATGGAAGTGTATTTACAGGTTCTGTTTAATTAATGTATTTAGCTCTCTGAAGTCTGATGTCAAGGAATCAGCGGCTCGTCCTTGACAGCAGAACAATGAGAATGGTAACAAATGGAACTGATCAATGGAAACATGCAGCCTTCATCACACAAGCTGGCAGATTCATCAGAATGAAACGAAATGTTCCTGTGCCAGAATTTTCCAGCATTTGGGGGAACATCAATGAACTATTATGATTCTGGGGTTATGACCCAGTCTAGGGTTGAGCGGTAACAGGATTGGCGGTGGGTGAAATGAATGAACACTGAAGACAGGATGGGATGTGTGGATGGTGTGGAGGGAAAGTTATGTGGGTATTCATTCTGAAAAAGTACAGCAATGCCTCAAATGATTGCCGCAAGGTCAGAATGAACTTGTTGAGTTTAACTTGGTGTTGTTTAAGACATTAAGAATAGTTCTTAATTACACAAAGTTCTGATATATACCATGCATATATTATACTGTAATTAAACAATATTGTGTCACCCCTACATGGAATCAATTTAATAATGGAGTCGACAATGTCCTCATAGTTTGTTTCATAGTATGTTATTTTCAGTGTAGTATTATGTCCCTGTGACTGCTGCTTATTAAACCACATATATTACTTGTACTGCAATAAAAATGTTTAAAAATCTATCATTATTAATTAGGTGTGAGTATACATAGACGTATAGAAAATCATCACTTGCTTTCAAAATGTTAACTTCTTTTGGCTTACAACTCAAAAACACAGAGCAAATATACATATCACGATGTTTAAGTGAAAAAAGGGACATAACATTTCTGAAAGAAAAATAAAATATAAAATAAATGTTTTGTATAAGCAACATCCCCACAGATTCAATACTTTGTGGAAGCAACTTTTGCTTGAACTGCAGCCTTGCACCTGATTGGCTACATCTACACCAGCATTGCACATCTAAAGGGAGACATATTTGCCCATTCATCTTCACAGAATTGTTCCCGCTCAGTCAAACTGCTTGGCTACAGTAGATTGACTGTCCTCTTCAAGTCAATCGGATTGAGGTCAGAGCACTGACTAGGCCACCCTATGTCCTTCAGCCACTCCACAGTTGCTTTAGCGGTGTGCTTCATGTGATTGTCACATTGAAGGGTGAACCGTATTCCCATCTTCAGTTTCCCAGCTGAAGGTAGCAGGTGTTCCTTGAGAATCTGTCAGTATTTTTTGCACCATCCATCTTCCCTTCGATCCTGACGGGAGCCCCAGTCCTCGCTGAAGAGAAACACCGTTATAGTGTAAGGCTGCTACAACTGTGCTTAATTGCAGGAGGGGCGTTCTTTGTGTTGTAAAATCTGTTGGGCTTTCTATAGACATGCTATTGTGGCCCTAAAGGTCAATTTTGCTATGTTTGCACCTTCAACTGGCTGTGACACCTCGATTTTGTGATGATGATGATGTTTACAGTGCCAAAAGGGATTGTGCAGGCATCTGTGATGTTCTTACACCCTTCTCTTAATTTGTGCCTTTCCACAACTTCCTGTCAAAGCTGTTTGGATGTACTTTTTCAACCCATAGAGGGTTTTTTGCTTAGAATTGTGGCACCATCTACCAGCGGTTGATTTTCTCCAAAACGAATAAATGTCGGTACAGATAATCACAGGTGGGCATCAGTTAACCTGTTCAGTGATTGCTTTTGCCTGATTAAGTTTGCAGATGCATCTGGGAATGCATGTGCATTTTTCCAAGTGAGCTATTTGGCTGTTGTGATTTTAATTAATTGTCATATTTTTTTCAGAATTTCACTTTTTCCTGACTGTGGTGGGCAACCGTGTATTAATGAAAAGGAGATGAGTCTTATTTTATTTTTATTTTTTTACTCTCAGGGTGTAATTCAGCAAATGGTATAAAAGGGGTGATGACTCTATATTCACTATATATGTTTCTGATCTCTTATTAAGCTTTATGTGCTCATTTTGAATGTCAAAACTTTGACCCTTACTAAAGGTATACATTTCTGTGGCCTATATTCTCTTAAACTACTGTTATCTTTGCACTTGTAAATAATTAAATTTTCAATAAGACATATTTAATTCTTATTAATAATTTTTGGTAAATTTAATAAGATTTACATAATTGCACATGAATTAAACATTAAGTAATTTATTGTATGCAAATGAAATTTTCCCCAGCAGAGACATAAGGCAAACCACTGGCTGTATAATTATTATTTGATTTTTTAAAGAATAGGCAAAAAGGTGCCTCACACAAGAGTGACCTGGTTTGCCCCAGTAAACACACAAGAGGAAAAGGTTTCATCAATCATTCACTCCTTAAGCACTCTCCACAGTAATGTTCTTCTGTTAGTTTTAGTAAGTTGGTTATTAATAAAGCATATACTTAAATTGAGTGTCGTTGAAATAAAGTACAAAAAAATTTGGAGACTGCCCAGACCCCAAAATCCTAGGATGTATTTCCATCCATCCATCCATCCATCCATCCTCTGATCACTTTATCCTAGTCAGCAGAACTGGATCATCATAAGGATTATTCTAATGATGTATTAGCATTCTGTGCTATCATAGTAGCAGTACTGCACTTGATCTGCTGGGCTCAGGTGGCCGAGGCAGGTGCCCTGTTGCTATGTGGCTGCTGGCAATAATGAAACAGAAAGTGAAACAACATATATTAAACAACTGCTATAATAAATGACTGTAAGCAGGCACACGGTGCCAATGGAGCAGGAGAGAGTTTGATTTGGAGGGAGCAACTTTATCATTTACATGCAAAGGCCTGTTTACTGAGGGAAAGAATGAAGCCAAATTAAATGTTGGGGGGGTTCATGATCCCCCAGCCACCCCCCAGGCCCTATGCCCTCGTACCGTGCAGTAATCTAATTCATATTTTATAAAAACAACACCCAAAACTTGACTAAACAGGATTTAAATAATATACATTTTGAAGTACTAAATAAGGCTATTTAAACCAGGTGATCATGGGTTTGTGTTAGATTATACTTATTAGTGATAAAATTTAATAAATAAGGTGAGAGATTCTACATAAGCAAGGACCCCATAATATTTTCCCATTGTTATGGATAGTTTGTTGATTTTCATTTATGGATTTTCGTACGATTTTAAACTGCCAGCAGTAATAAATTTTGCACCGTTTTTCAAGGTAAGATTCTTCTTTAAATGAAATAAGTGAGAAGGTCGTAAATGGTTTGCTTAGTGAATCAGAAAGCTGATAAATCATAAGGCAGGGCTACATTCCTGCTGGCGAATCATTAAATGCAGCCCTTTTTTCCCGCAATTACTTGTCTTATCTGAATTACATAATGTTACAGAAAATATTCTCCACCAAAATCAGCGTGATTATTTCCCGAAGCGGCAGCGCCGGCCGTCATTTGAAATCCGCAATTGACAAGGCTTGAAAGTTAAAGCAAGAACAAATGATTACTTTCCTCCGAGGAGTAAAAAATCACATCTTGCGCTTTTGTCGATAACAGATTTTGGATGAATATTAATGCCCATTGCAGGCTGAGAAGCAACGCTAAACAGCTTTAGCCTGTAGCTGCCGTCCTTATTTGTAGCCTATTCTGGAAAAATAAAGAAAAATGAAAACTCAGAGTGGCAATTACAATCATGCTTTCCCCAAACAGTGTCCTTTCTTTACTCCGCCAGCCAGCCTATCTTCCTATTTGTAACCTTGTTCATTAAAAGCTCACTAGCATAGCAGCTGATCAGATTTCTGAGGGGCCTTTTTGGGAGCCATCAAACTGGAGCACTTTGGTAATGGTACTGTCAGATCCAACTAGGTTGGTAATCAGGAAGCCTAACCTTCGCCGCCATGTGAAATAGGTGGGAAAAGTTAATGTGACCCATGCAAAACCACCTTTTTGGGGTTAATTAAGTCCCTATTTCAAATGAAATGACATTTCAAAAAAGGATACTAATTAAATTTCACTTCTTTGACTGCCTTGTGAAAATAATGACTCCAAGGTGCCTTAATTATTGTGTCCTGAAGTTTGATATAGAGAATATAGGACCTGAAGGTGAACATTCAGAAAACTCACGGTTTACTTGAACCAACGTTCTTCATTTATATAAATTTTGATCATTATTTCTCATAAAAAAATATTTTTTATTTAATCAAATCCAATTATTACCTTTACTGTGCCTATATAACACCAAATTCAACACCATATTATACACGCGCATATAATCTCATGTAAATAAAAATTCATAACCCATTTCAATCACAAGTACTTAAAAGTACCCTTCAAATTCGCTATAGTAGTAATACTGTATGAAATAAGAAGACAGGATTTAAATGAATGTTCTGAAGGGAAATGAATGATTCTTATCAATAAAGTCAATAACTCAACTTTATTTTGGAGGACATGCAGAGATTTTAATTCAAAGGGTTGTTGCATTTCAAAAGCTGAAATAAATGAAAAGGCAGCATTTGAGATGTTGATATGCAGATAACCATTATTATAAAGTCAACGGACAGATGGTGAGAATGACAAGTCAATTGCAATTCACTTTCATACACTACATTAGAGCCTGACTGGAAAATAATTTTGCAGTTAAATTAATTTAAATTTACATTTGTTGATTTAGCAGACACGTTTGACCAAATTGACGTACAAATGAAGCGTGTAATACATTATTAGGAAATATAACCATCAAGGACCCAACTTAGGCAGAAGTGCTGCAAGGCAGAGTTAGTATTGCTGTAACACTGCAGTGTTACTTGTGAAAAAGCTACTCAAAAGTAAAAAAAAAATAGGGACTATCTTTGTACTTTTACATTTTTTTTTGTGTATTTATTTTTCTTCTTCTTCTCTCTCTCTCCTCTTTCTCTCCTTCCTTTCTTCCTCTCTATCTCTTCTACCTCAGTTAACTTCCCCTGTCGGCTCCGGCTTTGTGGCGCAATAATCTAAAATGGTTAATAAAGAGTATATCTCAAGTAACAAGAGGAGCTTAATCCGAAACTCCACTTGGCAAAATAAAAGTGTTGGTATAATAAAGCACCCAGACTAACATCCTGCTTGCTAAACTGCCGGACATGACAGGGGTTTTAAAAAAAAACAAAAAACAGCAGAATCAGCATCCTGTGTTGCAAAACGACTGTAATCAAGGGGTAGCCAATGAAGACAGGAAGAA